GGGGCGGGATGCGCCCTGGCTGCGAAGTTCCGGTGTGGATCCACGGTAGGGTGACAACCGTCAGCAGTCACACGGTGTCTTTTAAACAGCTAGATCTTGGCTGTTCTCATCAAAGAGATGCCCGGTGTTTAAGGTGGTGGATTTGCCAGTGCTAATTTGATCACTGCCTGATGTACAAAGGTATCATCAGCAAGGTGGGTCGCACAGATATGTACAGTTACATGTGGACCGAACAACCACTAAACACACAAGGGGCCCAGTGGGGTCCTCTGACTGCGCCTTTCCGTTTCCCGCCCTCCAGCCAGGAGACTGTGGTGTCCGCCCCCGGGCCCCACACAACCTCCAGGCCCTCAGGAGTCCGGGCCGGGACAGCCACACCTCCCTCAGTCCCCTGATCCCTTCACCCCCGGCCCAGCTGCTGACCGAGTCTCCTTGGGGCAGGGGTCGGAACCTCAAGGGTGGACGTGGAGGTTGTGTCCGGGCGAGCGTCAGGCACCGGCCCAAATCATCAAGCGTTCAGAGCTGATGCCTCCCGGCGCCCCCGGCCCCCCCGCGCTGCGCGGTCCCGACTCCTGGGCTCCCCTTACCTCCTGTGCGCTGCCTTCCCGTGGCTGTGGCAGAGGGAGCGGCGCCCTGGGCTTCTGGGCCAGAATGTGAGGATAGCGTCGTTTCTCTTCGCGGAGGCCCGAGACCCTTGCAGTCTGATTTTCCCTCGAGTAGCCGCTAGGTCTCGGCCAGCGGCTTGCGGTGTCAGGTGCGGCTCTGCAGCCTCCACCCCCAGAAGGGGATCCCCGCGTCCAGCCCCGCTCCCCTGCCCCTCAGGCGCGCATCATCCGCACTGCTAGGCCAAAACCTCCGTGGGAAGCTAACAAAGGTCCAGGAAGAAGGGGCGTGGGAGACAAGGACGAGCCACCCGCTCAGCACGACGCGGCAGTCCGGGAAGCCGGGTGCGCCTTTCAGCGTGGAGTTGGGGCGCCACGGGGCCCCAGGTGTGTGCCACAGGCAGAGGCGAGGGCGCTGGGATGAGAAGGCTGGTGAGGACCCCGGCTCGCACTCCAGGCTGCGTGTAGGAGGCAACAGCAAGGACGGGAGGGGAACCCACGTCCCGCGACTGGGCCACGGGGGAGAGGTGGGCACGGTCGGCTGGCTCCACTGGGGGCCCGGCTGTGGACAGGAAATGGGGTCTGACCAGCCCGGGGCAGAGCGCGTGGGGGGCTGGCCGAGTAGGATGAAGCTGGGCATCCCGTGTGCCGGGTGAGGGGCTGCAGAAGTCGTCCCTTCCTACAGCAAAACCCGCAGCAGCCCCACAGTCGAGACCCCTGTTCACACGCGGTTTGTGCACACCTGCTCACGCTGTGTTCAGGCACAGCAGGGGCCTTGGGCTTCTCTCGGGCTCTGGTTGTCCCCCTGGAGGATGGCTGTGCCACCCAGCCTAGCAGGCACCCACACCGCCACAGGCCTCACGTTCTCCGGAGTTCAGATCACTCCATTTGCCTGAAACCACCCTCGGGTGAGCTCCAGCCACCTGCAAGGGGCCTCCTAGCCACCCTGAGACCTGGAGCTGCCTTAGGGACAGCCGGGCCCCACAGCCCTAGAGCGCTGCCCTGCCCTGCCCTGCCCTGCCCTGCTCGGGGACTTGGAGCCCCTGCTGTCCTCACCTACCCGGCAGGGACGCTGGGCAGACGCTGCAGCTGAGGGCAGGTCGGGGAGGGGATGAGCCCTGCGGCAGCTGGGCCTAGGGTATCAGGACGGGGCCCTGGGAACAAGCGTGACTCTGGCCATGGGCAGTCAGCAGGGGCATCATCCTGGAGCCAGGCCCCACGTCCCAGAGCTCACAAGGGGCCGAAACAACCCAGTCACCAGTGCTCCACTCAGGCCCGGCTCTTGCTGTGCGGCCCCTTCACCTGCTGGTGCCCGTGACAGCCCTCGGAGGAAGACCAGGGGCCTCCACTCCGTGGGAACAGGTGTGTGGCTCCGGGCACGGCCGCCTCCTTTCCTGCTCAAGGCTATAAATACCCTGCGATGCAAACAGCAGTGCTGGGAGGCATTTATCATAAATTCCAGGGGGATGATTGGGAGTCTGGAGGTCCCGGGGTTCTTTAAAAAAGAGAGACTAACCTGATCTGGGCGGAGGGGGTGTGGTGGCCGGGTCCAGGTGGAGACTCAGCCCCTGAGCAGGCCGGGCCCCTGCACCCTGGCGGTGGACGGGGTACCACAGCCCAGTGAGCCTCACCCATGTGGGGTGCATCGCAGGGTGCTTCGCCTCCACCCAAGGGAGCCACCAGGTCCCCACCTCGGAGACCAGCACCCACGGGCCACCCAGCCCCTCCTCCCCCAGAAAGTCCTGAGCGACGCGGGGCTTCAGGATGCTCCTAATTTAACAGTAATAATGAAACCCACCGTGGTAGGGAGCCGTGAACTGCATGTTAAATTCCTAGGGCCGCTAATGAGCCCCGAGCTGCTGCTGGGGCTGTTGTCAGAATAAACACGCAGAACGGATGGTTGCAGCCACAAAAATAAACGGCGCACAGCCGCGCCTGCCACCCGGCCACCACACCGGCCACCGGCCACCACACGGAAGCAAGATGACAGTAACAGCATGGGAAAGTGAGCCCTAATGAGGAGAACCTCCTGGCAGGAGACACATTTAATTTTCCTTCGTCTCTGACACTTTTCTTCCCTGTCCGAAGGGAGGCCCCTAATTGAAGCGTGCAGTGGGCTGCTCCATCTCTCTCTAACCCGCGCCTCCGCACACCTCCTCTTTCCCCGGGCTCTAGAAAGGCTTCTGTCATTACAATTTTGGTTATCTTCTGAATAAAGAGCAGGTGAGGCCGAGCGGGTCGGAGCGGTGTGCACAGCACTTTGACAACTGGGGCGACGGCCTAACTACTAAGCAATTTTTTCCACAATTCAAAACTCCGTTTTTTGCAGGCCAAGGAATCAGTCCAACAAACACATCCCACTCTTGCTGAAAATAATTTCTTTTCCCATCTTCTAGGAATAAAACATTTTTAATGTATTTGTCTGGAATCGACACTTCGTTTAACAAGATTTAAAAAGTAACAACTTAAAGAGCAATCGAGGAGTCCCGCATCCATCACAGACTCGACTCGTTCTAAAGTCAGAACAGAGATGGCGCAGAGAAAACAGGAAGCCCCGAGCGTGTGGGAGGTGCCTGCCCGTGCGAGGCGAGGCCCTAACCTGCCAGCCAGGAGCTGCTGCAGGATGGCTCTGAGGGCTTCCTCCTGCTGTCCCCCAAATACAAAGCTGAAGGGCGGGCGCCCCAGCACGTGTCTCCTCTGACCACCGGGGCTGTGTTGACAGCAGTGCGACAGTCGCCCCGTCACCCGGAGCACTTGTCCTTGGCGTCACGTTTCTGGCCTGTTTAGGTCCAGCCGGCACAGGAGGAGGAGGAGGAGGAGTGCTCCTGCCAGGCTCGGCGCACATCAGAGGGCACTCGCTGCTCACCCTGTCCCCCGCGTGTGGCGCGTGCTCCTGGGGATCCCCGCGTCCCGAGCCCTGGGCACCAGGGAGGCTGTTGAGCGGAGCGCAGGGACAGGAGACCCAGCCTCAGATGCTGCTGGTGCAGCCCCGTCCTGCCCTCGGTTCTTCTGACCTAACTGGACGGAGACAGAGAGCCCCGGAAGGGACCCACGCCAAAGGGACCCACAAGCTGGGAGCCACACCTGCGGGTCGGGCGCCTTTGGGTGTGACGGGGAGCCACCAAACCACACGGAGCTGCCAGCGCCCCATGCCCGGGCTGGCCTGGAAGTGCCGAGCGGGCAGGAGCTCCTGCTACTTGGC